AGACCAAAATATATTTTAGCATATCAGGTAATAAATACAGGAACATAGTGTCATATGCCCTTTCCAAAGGCAAAATAACAGATGCGTCCATTGGCATAATGCAAGACAGATTATCTTCAACTTTAGTCTAATAAGATTCACCTTGTTCATGTAAATAAACTTACAATCTTCTTTTGGGGAGCAAACGTAATTTGTGAACTGAATAGATATGTAGAATATAGCAGAGAGCTCCTAACTGGTCTTTTGACTCAGCCATGATTTAGATGAAAGATTCAAAGAGGGCATGATCTGATTTGAGTTTCACTTTGAGATTTAAAGGCAAGGCAGTTCAGTTTGATCTTTCTGAGATTTTTTTTTTAAAGCTACACTTGGGAATCATCAAAATACCTTCATTTTGGGCAGGATGGGATGAAAATAACATGGACAATTGATTCCCTAGAAGACACCAATTCTTTGTTTCCTGGTGGATATCCTTTTCTGCAATAAATATTTGAAATACTTCTCATGCACATCTTTTAAGGCAGGGTGTTTCAACCTTTTCACCCATTGTACCACTTTTAAGATATGGCAATATCCGAGTACCACCAGTCGCCTAGCAAGCGAAAACCTGATGACCAAAAAAAAAAAAAAAAGAAAGAAAGAAAGAAAGAAAAACAGTGATGAAGTACAGTAGTCCTTGACTTACAACAGTTCGCTTAGTGACTGTTCAAAGTTATAATGGCACTGAAAAAAGTGCCCCCCAAGCCACAGCGAGCAAGACACCTGCCTGCCCACCCAACGGTGCTCTTCCTCCTGTCCGAGGTTTTCATTGTTGTGAGCATTTCTGTTGAGGATTGGGAGTGGGGGTGGGGTGGGGGGGATGTTTGGTTTTTATTCCCCCCGTCTGCTGGGTGGTTGCAGCAGGTTTTGGTCAATTCACATAACCCTGTGACCATCATAAATATGAATCAGTTGCCAAGCATCTGAACGTAAATCACAAGACCCTGGAGATGCTGCAACATTCCAGGTGCTCGGCCCTTTTTCTGGGCTCAGCAGAAGGGCCAGGATCAGTACCAAGCTCCAGCTGGAATCTGGTGCTGATCCTGGTGCTTCCACTGAGCCCTGACAGCCCTGCAGCTCCAGCCATCTCTTACTCAGGCTTATGTGGTGTTGCCACTGGTTCAGCTCATTCCCCTCCCCCACTACCACTTTTCTAGTATGATCATGTACCACCTGCCAGGTGCCAATGTACCACAGGTGGTACCCATACCACTGGTTGAAAAGCCTTGTAGTAGAGGACCATAAGATCTGGCATAGGTGACTTACAATTTTGACCCTTTTGATATCCCATAATACTCACTTTATAGATGTGCAAGCACATTGTCAGAGCTTATCCTCTTCTGCGTTGGAATCAGAAGAATTGCATTGATTTATTCTTAAATGGAGGTGTAATTTTTCAGCTTTTCTTTTTATGTTTCTTCTGATGGCTAAAGGCTATAACAAAATAGCATAGAACTAAATTAAATTATATTTCTGCTTCTGATCATTATAACTGGCATGGTAGTTGCCAGTTGGTCAGCTTGATCCCTCTAAGAAATTTTTTAATCAGTAGTAGAACTAAGTTGTGTCAGGTTTGTTGTCTGCTAGAAAAACATTTAAGGTTAAATTGAAGCAAAAGCAGACCATGAAATACAATATCAAAGAGAGGGACTGGCATACTGTTTGGAACTCTACCATACCCTATTCCTAAACATAAAGGTATGTGATAACTTGGCACATCATTGTTGGAAGACTTAAATAAGTCTGAAATAAGTCTGTATAGGGAACTAACCCTTAAGTCTGTATTTAGAGGCTGACTTCTGAACTGAATTCCCAGTTTATAAAAAATAAAATAGAAATAGAAATATCCTGATACATTAAACAACTTGAGAAACTAAATGAAGTGCAAGCAAAGTTAGCCCAGCCACCCAAAATATCTTTAACAGGTACAGTAGCTAATTAGTCATTAAACAACCTGGCCAGCTGTTCAGTCTCATTATAGCATTCTCCATATGTGTGAAGTTGCAATATTAAATATTCTCAGTAGTAGCAGAGGGGCCATCAAATCTGCAAAACATTTGAAAGATTATTAAGTATTTTAATTTTTAATCTGATAAATTCTAAACCTTGTCCAATTTAGTATGGCAATTAAAAATGAACTGAGTTTCAAAACAGTTTAGATTGTTGACATAAAATATATTTATTTTATATCTTTAGAACTTTGAGACATAGAGGAGAATTAAAATTTCCCCAAATTATCTAGCTAATAAATCAATAAACCAATAATCAATTGTAGCAGGTCATAAATCCAAAATAGCTATTCTGCATTCATATCATTGGTGGGAAGGGGGCAATTTGATTCACTGAGCATTTAGTTTTATACTTCAGCAGTTTTTCCATATGTCTCATCCCTTTGTTTCTATTTTATATTATCTGTCACTCTTCTTTTATAAACATATCTTTCTGGATATGTAGAACATTACCTGAGTAGTGATTCATAGTGTATTTTAATATCACTCAGATATTCTTGTTCTGAGATAGCAGTAATGAGGAGAGATTTTTACATCACTGCATCAATATTTAAGCGAATTAGAAAGTATTCCAGATCACTACAGTGGTAGAGAAAAGGCTTTAGTTTTTTTCATGAATATGACTTGTTCTTAATAGTGGAAAGCCTTTAGATTTTTAAAAATTGTATCCTTTACAAAATGGATAACCATATCCACAGAATAATATGTTTGTATATATTTTAAAGTTATTATCAAGTAGAGTCATTGAGTATCAGATTAGCAGGTTTGGGATTTGAGGTCCAGGAGCTAGAAGGCACAATTGCTACAAGACACTTTTCCTAAAAATATCCTGCTTCCTGTCTTTTATCATTTTTCTGTTTAGCACTACCAAGATGTTACCGCCTGCCCTATACTCCTTGACCTTAAGTCCATATTATCAGCTCTTATACACAGTTGAAACAAGCAAAGAATAGTCAACTTCTTTGTGATCCTGATGACACCATATGAGGAAGACAAGATGGCTCCTATCCTAAAAGTATAGACTTTGCAGAAGATGCTTGGGAATGTTCCTGAGGATTTGATTGAACTGAAGCATTAGTCACGTCTTGGAATGAGAAAGTGGTTATGGGCCTAGACTCAATTATAGCTCAATGGCTTCTTTCTGCACAGGGTTTTCAAAGAAACCATCCATCCTGGCCTCCTTTGAACTTGGCATTCAATACTACCAGTCATGGTATCCTTCTGGACAGATCAGAGTGTTGGGAGTGGGAGGCATAGTGTTACAATGGTTTTCCTACTTCTTCCAAGTCATTACCAATTACTATTGATGAGTGAAGAAATCCAGGCCTAGACCCCTGTACTATGGGGTATTTTGAGTCTCAGCTCTCTCCCTGCCATTGTTTAAGATCTTTATGGAGCTGCTGAATGAGATCACCTGTTCTTCTGGCACTCAGTAGCATCTTTATGATGATACACAAGTTATACATCTCAATCTAGCAGGACTAAATGGATGTGCATTTGGGGGCCATCTTGATCCAGGGAATTTCTATATTTGGTTCATGGCAGTATAGCATTACTCCATAAAGTGTGCAGTTTGGAGAGTCTCTTGGATTAATGGCTCCTGCTTGAAGAGCACGTGGCAGTGAGGGTTGAAAAACCTTTACCCAAAGCTATCTTATGTGCCAATTTTGTCCATTTCTGGATCAGGAAGTCTTACTTATAGTCTGCCACACTTTTAAAATAGAATAGAATAGAATAGAATAGAATAGAATAGAATAGAATAGAATAGAATAGAATAGAATAGAATAGAATAGAGTGGAAGGGACCTTGGAGGTCTTCCAGTCTTCATCTAGATTATTGCAATAAAGTGTACATAAGGCTGTCCCTGAAGACTACTTGGAAGCTATAGCTGGTCCAAAATACAGCAATTACCAGTAATTATAAGCATGCCTCAGTATGCTTATGTAACACCTTTACTACGTGAGCTATACTGATTACTAGTATGCTTCTGGGTCAGTTCAAGATGGCCTATAAAGCCATTTTTGGCCAGGGAATTTTCAAGATTGCCTGCCCATTCCAATAAGATAAGACAAAGAGAACATGTCCTAGGTCCCAATACTTAATCAATAGATTCCAGGAGAAGCACTTTTTCTTTTGCTGCACAACATTACCTCTAAAATTTAGATGGTCTTGATCCTGCCTCCAAAATAATGGGTTAGAAAGTTTTGTGACAGTGTTCCCTTATGGTTGCTCTTTGGTGGTTCTTGATTGGATGAAATTGCCTCAAAAATAATATGTTTTATTATTTGTAATGGTTGTGGTTGTTGTTATATGTCATTTTACTTATCTATATATTCTGATTTGCATGTGAATTGGGTGGCTATATAAATTGATCAAAATAAATAACATTACCAATTTAAAACAATAAATCTCAAATGCTACCATAATAGTAACTAAATTTGCTTACAGACTCTAGGGTGAATTTGAAGAGATCTCTTTCAGACAAACTCTAAAAATGAATTTATTTACAAAATCACATTTCATTTTACACACACACACACACACACACACACACTTATTTGTTCTATTGATGTGTTTTCACTGAAGCAGTCAGTCTCCCACAATTTAGGACATACCACAGTATTCAAGCTTGTATGGAAACTTTCATTGTTGTTTATCTGAGTGTTCAAAATCCAGTTTTTGCGTACGTAGGTGGCTTGGTGATTTGTCAGCATGCCATTTTGGATCAGCCCTTTATGAATTGTTTTTAAGCACCAAAATGGACAATGAAAGCTTTTATAGCAGCTGCCTAATTAGCAGTAATCATTCTTGTTAACTTTGCTAAAGAACTGGAGTATGTGATGAATGTAAACTATTCATTTTGGTTTTTTTCCCCCATACCCATTTGCAGCGAGCAAGTTCATCTTGTAAAATAGCCTTTAATTGCTTTGCAATTTCATGTTCATTTTGCAGATTGAGAATGTTGATGTCTGCCTTAGCTTTCTGGCAGCCAGAGGAGTAAATGTCCAAGGTCTTTCTGCTGAAGGTAAGAGAACCACACTATCAACCAAGAAAATAAAATATCTGCCTGAGAAGTTCATGAACCCTATTTTCAATTTGCTATCTTGAAAAAAAAATCTTTTTTATGAGTTACCTACTTTATTTTCTTGGAATCAGTTGTATCTATATAAGAAAATAAATATTTCATTTGAAAGTCAAATGAAGTACTTAAATTATTGATTTATCCTTGGGTATATTTTGTTCATTTAATCTGGTACCTATATTTCTACACAGGTATATAGTGCACTTTCCAAGTATATCGCTGAATATAGCATGAATATACTAAAGTATTGCATTGTGTAAGTTACTGAAATTTAGCACAATCAATAAGCCTATAAATTCACAGGAAATCTCATTTTAAAGTAACCCATCTAATGATTTTATTGCCTTCTGTTAACAATTATGTAGATTCATGTCACACTGTAATCAAATACCTTAAAACTTTTATTTGTTTAAATTTGTTATTCTTTGCATCACATATTGTTTGATGTCCCAGGGCAAATTAGAATTGCTCCCTGCAATTAATAGCTTTACGATTAATATTTTATTGAAGTGATGTCAGAAATTATTTTATTAGAACACTGAATTATTATTTTGAATTATAGTTTCTGTTTTATATAAAATTAAATATGCTATTGTCAGAGATTTCAGTCTCATTCAAATGTTATTGTTCATTTCTTGAGAAACCTGAAATAAATTATTTCTTAGCAAAGAAAGAAATAGTGTAAAATAGCCTAATTTTTGTTTTGTAAGAATGATATAGTCTCAGTTTTTTATTTTCTGTTAGAATATTTTTATTTTTGTATAATAAAAATAATAATAGTAATAATTTCTACATTGTTCATCTTACTATTGATAGTAGCTCTGGTCAGAACATGCAATATAGATTTTTGTGATTCTGAAAGAGGATGATATTTTCAAAAACAGTTGTTGAAAGAGATTCTAACATTTATTTTTATTGTTATCATGAAGATAAGTTTCAGTTATGTTAAGTCCATTGATCAGGGAACCCTGAATGGCAATAATAGGCCAATAAAAAATCAGGTGAAAACATTTTGATATATTATTCCAATATTTTGTAAAATTTGTAAAATTTTATAAAAATTGTTACATATTTCGGTCTTTCAGATGCCCAGTATCAATATACATCTCCTTGTAAAAGTACAACATATTGATATCAATATCAATAAACATTTCCTATTATCAAGAAAACAGTAACATAATTTTACATATTTAATTATTTTTAATTTCAGTTAAAGATGCATAAGCTTGCACTATTTTTTATAACCATATCTGTCTTTTTTATCAGAGAATTTTAAAAAAAGTCCAAACTCAGGAAATGGAAAAGAGTGTCCTACAGATTTTTATTGTCTCTTCTTTTTATCGTAAAGAAGGTGTGATTAAGCATAAGAAACATTTTAACTTATTTTCATTTTTTTCTGAGAAACTAGGATGAAATTCTCAAATATATCAGCTGGTATAATTTCAGAGGAATCAACAATATTTTTTTGATGTAAAAATCAGAATAAATAGAATGAAAAATAATTATTATACCAATATAATAATGAACGAGAATGTAGGGAGTTTTGGTCCTATTGTTAGACATAGTGAGGCCAATAGTTAACCTTAGAGAGCAGGAATTAACAATGGGACATTGAGATCTAAGTTTGTTATCTCAAAACAGTTAAGTCCTCTCAGAAGCAATTTAGATAAATATCAGCCAGGATTTAACTACTTCTCTGGTCGGGCACTATACACATAAGGTACATAAGTATGAGATTGGATTTTTACTAGTTCCAACATGAAAACTCCTTTTTGTTTCAAAGTTAAATCTCTTTTTCTTGCAATTCTGAAGTGTGAAAAGATTAGTTCAGATAAAGGCAGTCCTTAACTTGGTCTTCAAAAATTTAAAGCTTCAAAACCCATTAGCAGCTTTGACTTGGGCTTGGAAACATATTTAGCCACTATGATCGAACACATGAATGTTATGCTTCTGAATGGTTCTGAATTGTCTACAGCAGGGGTGTCAAACTCGCAACATCACATGACATGTCGCGATGTATTGCGACTTTTCCCCCATTGCCGACAATGAGGTGGGTGCAGTTTTGGCATGACATATCTGGCCCATGGGCCAGCAGTTTGACATCCCTGGTCTACAGCAATATAGAAATATAGAAATATATGCAATGATCAATATGCAAATGTATGCAGAATTTACTATTGTATATATAGCTGAAGCAAGGCACAATAATAAAATTATCAGCCAGCATCAACAAATGTAAATAATTATTACATTCAAATTATACAAAATTGCTACCTTTTGAGTAATGATTATGTGCTATTAATTTTTTGAATGTATTTATGGTAGATAAATTTGGTGGTATTGGCCAGTAGTACTTTATAAAAGTTCAATATATGATATAAAATTCTATATCTATTATCCAATATAAAACATGAGATTCCACCATAAAAATCTCTAAAAATCTTGTCATATTAAATTCAAATATAAGATAGTTTTCAGAACTGTAATAATGGCTAATGTCCATTAGGTACACCTGTGAAGGAAAGCTAATTTTGATATTTTCATTTCCTTCTTTTTGTCTGTGCAGAAATAAGAAATGGAAATTTGAAAGCCATTTTAGGACTGTTTTTCAGTTTGTCTCGTTATAAACAGCAGCAGCACCAACAACAGCAATACTATCAGTCCTTGCTAGAGCTACAGCAACATATCTGTCATTCTCCGAATCCTCCTGAGAGTGGCCAATCCAAAATCCAGCAAGATATGCAGTCCAGGTAGGTCAAATTACTTTCCTTAATCAAGTTGTACCTGAGATTGCTTTCTTTATGCAACTAATCTTTTCAAGCTCCTCGAAACAAAACTGAAACCGTGAAGCCAATGAAGTCTTATCTGGAAATAAGCTTTTTATAAATATTCAAAGAACTTTAATTGCTTAAAACAGTTTGTATAAAATATTATTCTTATATTTTTAGGCATTTAACTTCTTTTTTTCTCCCTTGTTAGCAATGACATGAAACTGGCTATTGGAAACTCACTGCGTACGCTGAAGTCAATGCTTCATCTGAGGGAAGCTCATTTTAAGGAAATTAGTAAATTAGTAAAGAAGAGAAGATAATCCTGTTTTTTCTTGAAAGAGTAAATTTTTAATTTTATCATAACTTCCGCTTACTGAACATAACAGAAAAAAGTATTTTGTTCCTCTGTTTTGAATTGCTTTTGTTTTCAACCTAAAGTAAAGTGATTGTAGAAACTGAACCAATACAAATTTAGGGATGTCACTACAGTTTGGGAAATACTCATTTTTCTCCAGATAATTTTATCATCAAAGGGTTTTGGGTGCTACCACTGTAGATGAATGGTATATGTTGTATGACAGGTAGGTTACAAAGCAAAGCATATTTTTTAAAAAAAATCATGAAACTCCCCACAGTGAATGCAAACCAGCTATTGCTTATCTAAATACAACAATCAGGTGGCAGGAATAGAGTTGCTATTAAATATCCTAGCACTTAGTGGATCAGTTTTTTAGAAAGAGAAAGATAAACTTTATAAAACAGAGGAAATATCATTGGTATAACCAAACAGTGTTTTCTCTGTCAAAAAAATGTGTAATTACACATTTAGAAGTTGAATAAAGGTTTTTAGCTAATTTCTTTTTCTGTTAAGCAATAACACAATCTATAATTTTTTTTAATTATGTTTCTTTTGTGTTCTGATATTCAAAATCTTAATGTTGACAGTGAATCTTTTTCTTCACATTGAAATCATTCAGATAAAAGCATGGATTGAAAATAAACACATACATTTTCTGTTGGTTTTACTTATAATTATTCATATAAAGGATAGTGGTGTGATTTGAATAGTAACAGGGCAAGCTTGCTGGACTGTGGTGGGATTAAGAGTTTTAGGATTTTAAGTTCATGGTTTAATGAAGAAAAGAGTGTTGCAAAACTCTTGCACAAATCTCTTGCTGGTTTTAAATTCTTAGTGTATCAACCTTCCTTTAAAATGTGTGGAGCCAAAACATACATGTTAGAATGATTATATGAGTAGGAATTACTTTGCTTTTTTAAAACTAGCTGAACTGTATATATATATATATATATATATATATATTCATTTACCATGCTATTTTCATGTATTTTCCCACCTGGAAATGAACTAATTCTTCAATATTCTTTAAAACAAATGCCTTTTAAACTAACTGATTTCTTTTCAAAGGACAGTTACATACGATCTCTGGCTTGCCTGAGATTTTCTTTTAAAGTTCCAGGTAGATAAATGGGGAGATGAATGGAGAGCAGTAATGTTTGGAGAGATTGAAAGGACCCTTGAATGATGCAAAGGAAAAAAAAAAAAAGGGGGGGGGGAAGGTGGAACTTTTAAGTACATTCACTATATGTTTAAAATGATTGATGTGTCAAATTTAATTATTATTAATTTAACATCATTAACATACACTTTCTGATATTCATAAAATTTATTTCCTATAATGTCTGTGTTGGTGTTTCTCAAACTTGGCAACCTTAAACTTTATTACACAACCTGTGATCCTAGCGGGTCACTGTTTCAGAGAGATTTCCTTACCTAAACAAAGAAACAAAACGACTATGGAATGGCAAAAAAGTAGTGGGAGTGGGAACAATTTCCATTGTTCTGGTTTCCTAATTGAATTTCCTTATGGTAAGGTGGCAGGAAGCATCAGAAATCCTTCCTTCTTTCTTCCCTCCTTCCTTCCTTCCCTCCCCCAGGTGGAGAGTGAATGAGGGGGAGTGTGAGTCAGGAATGGTACCTTGGTGCCATCTGAAGGAATGAGGGATTGTGAAACTGCTCTGGGAAATTGTAACAGAACATTAAAAATTGAGATCACGTGACTGTCAAAGCAGCACAGCAGCATCCAGTAACATTGAAACAGTCACAACATCCTCAAATTTCATTTTCCTTGGGAATCATGGGTCATGGATCACATTCTGTAAGTTATCTCATTTGAGGTACCTTGGTTCAATTTTTTTTGCACTATTGTGCTCTGTTTTGCCCAATTAAAGGTCATGATAAGAAGAGAGTCTTTCCTGTCTGTCTGTCTGTCTGTCTGTCTGTCTGTCTATCTATCTATCTATCTATCTATCTATCTATCTATCTATCTTTATTATTTTTACAAATAGCTCAAGGTGATGAACATATCCCATACTTCTTCCTGTCAGATGGATTGGGCTGAGAGAAGTGTCTCGCCCAAGCCAAGCCAAGCCTCAGATAGTTTTCATGGCTAGTAGTATACAGATAACTGCCCAGGGAACTTGAAGTCAACACAGCTTAAGATTCTCGATGTTATCAAATACTGGTTTATGTGAATATTTTGGTTGTATAGCCAGCACTTATAATAACGTATATACTATTGGAAATAGGTTATGTTAGAAGTAAGTAAAATATAACAGCAAACACTATATTACACTTTTTCCTTCAGGGTGTAATGATAAATAAAGATGCCTTTTGTGGCTTTAATTACACTTCTAAATCAAGTAGAATATTTTAATTTAACAATTACAACTAATGAACAAAAATATTGCTCATATTCATCCTGACTTATTAAAATGGTACCTTGCTCAATAGTAGTAACTGTGGGAGGGATCTCGGAGTCCTAGTGAACAATCACTTAAATATGAGCCAGCAGTGTGCTGCAGCTGCCAAAAAAGCCAACACAATGCTAGGCTGCATTAACAGAGGGATAGAATCAAGATCACGTGAAGTGTTAATGCTGCTTTATAATGCCTTGGTAAGGCCACACTTGGAATACTGCATCCAGTTTTGGTCACTACGATGTAAAAAAGATGTTGAGACTCTAGAAAGAGTACAGAGAAGAAGAACAACAAAGATGATTAGAGAACTGGAGGCTAAAACATATAAGGAACGGTTGCTGGAATTGGGTATGTCTAGTTTAATGAAGAGAAGGACAAGGGGGGACATGATAGCAGTGTTCCAATATCTCAGGGGTTGCCACAAGGAAGAGGGAGTCATGCTATTCTCCAAAGCACCTGAAGGCAAGACCAGAAGCAATGGATGGAAACTAACCAAAGAGAGAAGCAACCTGGAACTAAGGAGAAATTTTTTGACAGTTAGAACAATTAATCATTGGAACAACCTGCCTCCAATACCCCAACACTGGAAGTTTTTAAGACGAGACTGGACAGCCATTTCTCTGAAATGGTACAGGGTTTCATGCCTGAGCAGGGGGTTGAAGACCTCCAAGGTCCTTTTCAACTTTTTTTATTACTATTGTTATTGTTGTTGTTGTGAGGAGGAATTATTGAATAAAAATACAACTTTGTATTGTGGTTATGCTTTTGCATGAGGAATTATAAATGCTTACTTTTAGTGATTGCTTCTAGTTAGGCCCTTGTAAGCATAGTTTATGTTTATGCTGTCACCACAGATGGAAATAGCCTATGCTTTTTAAAGGACTATGTCTGAGATAAGTGGAAATACAGTATCTTTCTCTGATGCACTATCACTTTGGATGTTAAAAGAGGGAACGATCAATTCATTGTTTCTGTAAAGTTAAAATTAGGAACTTTTCCCCCCAATGTATCTTTTACTAATATCTGTGATAAAGTTACATTTTTATTACATTAAGAAAGTACAAGAACAATGAACAGTGTGCATTCTTAAAATGACAAATGAAGCATTCAATTCAGACTTCATCACTTAACATAAGAATCTACCAGATGTGCCAATGCTGACCAAAATGTCTTAAGAATTATAATTCACAAAAATATGTACAACTAAAGCCTTCCTACTCTTGGAGTTTGGATTTATCAGCTGAAAGCTTTGTATGACAACAGTAGTCTTCATTGTGCATGAGCAGACATTCTCGAAATACATTAAGGAGTCATACAGTATTTTAAAATATACTAGATTGATACCCACTGCAATCATGACATGTCCAGCTGTCCATCTCATGATGAGAAAATGTTGCATAAAATTAAAATACACAACAATAGCAAGTTAATGTGTAACTGTATTTCTTGACAGCTTCTCTTTTTATCTTATCTAGCAGCTTCTTGGACTATACCCCTAAGCTGATACATGTTTGTATCGTTTCCCACAAATACCATTAATTCACAGCTACTGTATATAATTGTGAAGCTACAGTATATAATTGTTATATCTGTATGACAAGGATACATATAATAGAATACACAAATGTTAAATAAAATGCTTTTATTTAAACAGCTTAACACCTTAATTGCAGAAGATTCATAAAGTAAGACCTCCCACAAATGATTGTTTATCCAAAGAAATGTCAAATACCAGTTTGACCACAAAAGTATATTTGAAAATGGAAACCACTGTGGTTTGGAATTCTGGCAGTCATAATTCTAAGAGACCTCAAAGACATCAAAATAAGAATCTTAACTAGCCGGCTTCTTTGTTGGCAGGATCAATAATATTTAATCTATGCAACAGAGATAAAAACAGAGATAAGTATATAGAGATTTATATATGGTTAATAATGTGGGTAAAAATTCGACTCCTGGGTATATTCATATTGTAAAATAAATAAACAGTGATCACCAGGAGAATCAATGAGAAAAACATTTAATAAAACCTAGCTTTCGTCGGAAGCTTCCGACATCGTCAGGGTTAAAAGCAGTCATTGGGAAGAAACTTACCGTAAATGCCGGCGTATAAAACGATTTCCGCGAGCGCTAAAATCGGCACCAAAGACGGGGGTCGTCTTATACGCCGAGTCGTCTTATACGCCGGAAATACTGGTAGT